AAATTGATGAAAGAAGTGAAAAGGGATAGAGATGGAATCAGAAAAGGACACAAAAAGTGTAAAAGAAGAGAAAACACAAGTACCACTCAACGCCAATTATCGCTGAGCGGCACTCTCAAAGACCCGTTGGCACCGCTGAGGGGAGAAAAGCCGCTGAGGGGAAGAAGTGGTCATGCGTTATTACCGCTGAGCGACACTTTTTTGGGCTTGGGCCTACTTTTCTATAATTTTTAGAATATTATATAAGCTTTAGGACATTCTAGGGTTTGTATCTTTGGCTGGGACGAAGCAAAAACACACTCTTTCACCCATTGGAGGAGGATTTTGGATGCTAAGGCTCCTTTCTCAACTTTCAAGGGTTCTATCCTTCACTTTTCCATTATATTTTATCTAGTTTCACCATGAATATGGTGAACTAAACTTATTTTGTTGTTGGGGAATCAATGTAAATCTTTAGAAACTCTCTTGTATGGAATTTGTTCTTCAAGATCATTTTTATGATACATGCTTTCTTTCATTAATAGTTAGGGTTTTTCCTCTTTGCTCAAAGCATGCATTGTTTAACTCATTCGATGTCATGATTATTGGTTTTGTCGATATGGACACATACGGGGAAATCTAGATCTGGGGAATCTCTCCCATCAGTATATTACCAACCTAGACATAAGAGTATGATAGTTGGTTGCGTTTAAGCTTCTATTCACTATAATGCATGATTAATTGCTAGGGAGACAAGACATTGTAAACTAGTGATTATGATTAGGCTTTCTTTGCCGAGACATCGAGTTTAAAGTAATTTAGAAAGTGACATTAACATTAATGAAAAGAATGATGAATTCCTAAATACAAGAGAGTGGATAGAATGAAATTGATAAACCCCAACAACATATTCATCCATATATTTCAATTCACGTGTTTTGTTTCTTCTTGCCCATTGATCATCACATGCATAAATATTTACTTTTCAATCTTTTGCATTTGAAACTTACAACAATTTGTTCTCAAGTCTTAATTAATCAATAAATTACATAACTGTCTAGGCCGTGAGTCTCTTGGGAAACGATACTTGGTCTTACCAGAATTATTACTTGATACGATTCGGTTACACTTGCCGAGGGGTAAACACATGCCTAAAAGGACGTACTACCTACTTCAAGAAAAGTACTGAAAAAGCAAGCCTGCTATGACAAAAATAACTTATCCAACGGTTGTTGTACACGAAGAAAGAGAAAGCATAAGAATCAAGGCAAACGCTTAAGTCTAACAGACATTTACTCAAGAAGCCTTTAAATAGAAGATCTTTCAAAAGAAAAATCAAGAGGATAGCAAGAGAAAGGCTCACAACGAAATATCTATCCTTAGAAGCATTTAAAAGAGAAGAAAAGAAAGAGCTCAAGAAAAAGATCATATCTCAGCAGATAAAGAGAATAAGAGAAAAGAGAAGAGAAGAAAAGAAACAATCTTAAGCTTCATTGTTATATATATTGCTTGTTGATATTAAGAAAGAGAAAAAAAGAAAAGAGAGAAACGCTTGCGAGTGTTTATACTACTTTGTATTATAATCATATCCTCTCTACGAGAGTAATAATCTGAACAATTAGTAACCAATCTTTGATTGCAGTTCTAGAGAGAATTAAAACACTTACAAATGAACTCAGTGTGAGTTGAGGAAATCTAGGCGCGGTAGTCTAATACCAAGAGTAGTGCAAATACTCAAAGGAAATCTAGGCGTGGTAGTCTAGTACCAAGAGTGGTGCGAATACTCAGACAAGGAGTGATGCAAATACTCAGATCAAGAGTGGTACAAGTAATCAAACCAGGAGTGGTGAGAATACTCAGTTTTAATCTTATGAAAGTTATAGTGGAACCCTCTGCGGATGAGAATGGACGTAGCTCAGTTGGAGTGAATCAATATAAAAATAATTATGCATTTATCTCTTTTTTTACCTAATCGCTTCTCTTATAAAAACCTGCAACTGTTTTTTTTATTTCCAAATATATGAACTCTCCAAGCTAAATGACTACTCTTCAACTAAGGAAGTTCTTATAAAACTTTATAGTGTGCATTCTGAGTAGCACGTCAAAAGCAGCTATCATTTACAACTTTTATTAGGTCGAGCGTCTAAGCTCTCATAAGATATAATCAAAGCTTGACTATGTGTTATATCAGAAGGGTTGCGAAATGAATTTTTCCATTAACATTATTCAACCCCCCGCCCCCTTCTAGTGTTTTTCATGTACTTCAACATGCTTCACACATCAAGTTTGTTGATATGAACAATGAAATAAATTTTTAGTGCTGATATTTGTTGACTTGGTTGTGAAACATAAGAAAGGTTGTTGAAATAGGAAAACGAGTTAGATTAAATTCATTTGATATCATTGTTGATAAAAAAAAATTTAAAGATGCATGCATGTTTATTTTCTGTTTTTAGTATAATTAGTAAATATTTTATTAAAATTTTAAAAATATTTGTTTTTATTAAAAATAAAAATTTAAAAACTAATAAAGTTGTGCAAGGTGACTTGTACTTCATAATGTCAAAGAAAATAAATTTTGACATATGGCCAGATTGTGCTAGAAGTCAGAAAAATTTTCTTTCTCTTCCCCAAAATAAGTCTATAACCGACAATTTTTGAAACAAGTGTGAAAGAGACAAATAGTAGTTAGGATTTTTTTTTGTTTTCTCTTTCTGTTTTTTGTTTTATCTCCATAAAAAAAATTATGATTTCTTTTTGAGAAAATTGTGAAATTATTAACTTTCTACTTGAAACTTTTAGAAAATGTCTCATAAGAAATTCACCCAAATTTAATAGATGTTCTTGTTTTCAATAAAACATATTGGCTTTGGATTTTATTATTTGATTGTGTAACTATAACTATCGTAATCTTGAAACAGTAGTCATGTTTTATGTTGAATGGTGGATTATTGAATCAATTAGAAGCTAGCCTAATTGATTCATAATTATAAATTTATTAATTGAGTTAATTTGAGAATTACTTGGTTGAATCTTTTGTGAAAGAGTTTTTAGCCTAATTGTGATGGATGGAATACATATGTGCCATTCTTATTTTTCTTGAGTAACTTGCTCATGTTTTCTTTATACTTTAATATTTAGCTTGATTCTTTTGTTTTCAAGGTAGATATGCATTATTTGATATGATTGAGGCATTTCTTATTTTTAGCTACTTGCCAAATAAGTCCATCCTAATATTAATCTATTGATAACCCCTTTGAGCCTTTAACTTCTTTTTCTTAAAGCCATTGCAAAACCTTGAAAAAAAAGACAATATTATCCCTTATCTAAAGAAGAAAGAAGGGAGCTAATGGATTCTATTAGGAATGAGTGATGAATAAATTGTATGGGTGAGTATCTTACCCACAAAATAATAAAAATGGCAAAAGGAAGAAAAAAGTTTTATGGAAAAAATAGGGTGAAATGAAAAAAGATGAAAGATAAGGAAAAATACACTAAAGAAATGTATAAAACGAAGGATAATTATTTTCTCAAAAAGTGAAAAAAGAAAATAATATATTTGTTTTTTCAAAATCTTTGCTCCTCAATTATTTCCTTCCAAACTTTTTAATTCTCTATATCACAAATTTTTCCTACCTTTGCCTTGGTCACATTACAACCTTTGAAAAGTCCTAATGATATTTGAATGCATGTTTTCCAAAAGTATGTGAATATTAAAATCTTACTAAGTTATGCTAGTGTTTCCATACATGAGTATTTTCAGAGCAAACACAAGCTTAAACACTTAAGAGAGCATTGGTGAGTGAATATACATTTTAACTTGAGTGGTCTATTTCATACTTGATTTCTTGGTAAATTTAAAAGATTAACTCGTGTTTAAAATAGAGTTTTCCCATTCACATGATTCATGACAACTTGATTTAGAAAGTTGAATAGTTTCCAGTGAAGTTCTTTTCCTTTGGTAAACTATAACAACTTCAATAATTTTAAGATAGTAGCCAACAAAATAGAAAGGGTAAATTCAACCCTAAGTCATCTTCCAACGAACACATAATTGATTCTTAACAAATTAGTTCTTATAAAAAGTATACAAAAGGGTTAGTAAAACAAAGGTTTAAACCCTGAGATCGTCCTCGTATTTGTAGAGGAATCTCAAGTGGCTCCTCTTGATGAAAATGGTCTCAATTTGGTCCAAATTTTTGAAAAATTACGTCAATTAAGCCTTATCCGTTGAATGTTGATAGACGACATTAACATACGACGTGCTGCACGTTGATGTAAAATTGTTTTATTGTGTGGAATTTTTTTAAAAATTAAGAGTTTTTGACATGGAAAAATTTATTCCTAATCGAACCAAGGAATTTGTTCCTAATCGAACCTTACAGAGACTTATCCAGATCTGGTCAGACTCCCTCCACTACCCACTCCACTAAGCTCACTCCCCCACGAGTCTCGTTACTGGTCGTGGAGCTTCGACGACGTTAGTCACTCCTCAACTCTTCGTGTTCTTCATCATCGTGATTAGGTTTATTGTGATTTTGCATTTATTGATGAGAAGCCAAGGATTTGTGAAACCGATATATCTCTTGAGATGATCATTTTACTGGATTTATTTTGTACATTATTTTTTTGAGGTTGCATTCTTAATTGATTCCTTTTTCCAGTTTTTACTTTTACCTCAATTGATACAAGCAACACTGATAGAAGGGTACCTAGCCAAAGCAACTTTGTATCTCTGTTCAATCCAATTGTAGAGAAAGGAGCTTTCTACCCCTCGTGTGTGTACTACATTTTTAGGGGGAATTCTTCTTCGAACTCTGCATTGTCCCTTTTACTTCTTCTGCATCTAGAAAGAAGGTGGAGCTGGTATTCTCCAACACTCCTTTCCAGACCACCATATTAGCCTCAACCATATTCCTCCTTTGTCTTTAATCTCACACCACCAACTCTATCTATTATTATAAATTTCACCTTCTTTCTCACCTGTTTACAACAACAACAAAAATTCATCTTACTTCATCATGCACAAGAGCGCGTTAGGTTCCACGTTGGGCCCGGGAGGCCTCGACCTAATTCAGGCCTTCTTCAAGCCCATCCTCAATGTTTTAACTCCCTCTACGAGCAAGCAACACACCAAGATCTCTGTCATCGGCGTTGGTAACGTTGGAATGGCCATCTCGCCGACCATCCTCACCCAGGACCTCACCGACGACCTCGTCCTCGTCGATACCAACACCGACAAGCTCCGTGGCGAGATGCTCGACCTAGTGCATGCCACCGCCTTCCTTCCCAGTACCAAGATCCACGCCTCCACTGAATCTTCCGTCACTGGCGGTGATGATGCCGGCTCCGAACTCTGCATCGTCACCGCTAGTGCCCGCCAAATCGCCGGTGAGTCCCGCCTCAACCTGCTCGAGCGTAACCTTTCCCTCTTCCACGCCATCATACCCCCACTCTTTCATCACTCCCCGATAACACGTTCCTCACTCAAAGCCTTTGAAGAAAACAAAATCCCTAAATTTTAACGTAAACCAATTAAATTTTGCCATGTCATAATCCCTTAATTTAAATAAAAATTCCACATTATCAAACAATGCACATCAGCATATTAAGTGTGCACCACGTCATCATTTGTTAACGTCGTCTATTAACACTTAACGAATATGGCTTAATTAGCTTAATTTTTCAAAATTTAGGACCCAATTGAGACCGTTTTCATCAAGAGGACCCACTTGAGATTCCCCTACAAATACAAGGAGTATCCGAAGGTTTAACCCTAAAACAAAAACAATAAAGAAGATAAAGATCAATAAAAGAATAAAGAAAAAAGTAACAAAAGATAGAAAGAAATAAATTTATAAAAATATTTAAAAAGATAAAAACAAATATAAAAAAATAGGTTGATTTCACTACTTTTTCAAAATAGGATTCATCATTGGTTATCTAAAGATTAAGATTATTGTTCAATTAACTATTATGTTAAATTTTCAAATTAATCAATGCAAATTCTCAATTAATTTGTTGGTATTCTCACTCTTAACCAAAGTACATTCTCAATTAAAAGTAAGAACTTTGCAGATTAATCATAGTAAATTTAACCAAAGTACATTCTTAGTTAAATATTACTATGCCTAATCATGTTTGTTCTTTTACTTCTTATATCAAGTATAAAACTAATTACCCAAAGTATGTTCTTGATTAATTCTTGTTAAAGTTTTTACCACTAATCAAAATACATTCTCAATTGTTGGCAAAAACTCATTCAATCACATGAAAGTTTCTAACTTTAATCAAAGTAAATTCTCAATTAAAAATAAAATCCCTTAGACTCATATGATTGATTTGTTATGTAGATTTAACACCATTCTAATTTGTTATAATGTTAAAATGATTACTTTTACTTGATTAAGAAGCAAAAGACATAGTAAAAAATAAATCACAACAAGAATAAAAAAGAACAAACAAATTTATCCATCTAACCTCATAATCCAATTAAGAAATTACAGGGGAATCAAACCCAGAGGCTTAGTGTTGGTATCGGAGGGGGTATTTTTCGAAGAGTATAGCGCAGCGGAATTAAAACTCAGAGAGCGGAAAGCGTGTTCGATCACAATTAAAATTAATTTGGTCCTTTTAGTAAAAATAATTTTCTTTCAGAAAATTAATCAAACAGTTGATATACGTAAAATAATCTGAGTGTAGGGAATAAGAAGATCAACACAGAATTTTTATCCTGGTTCGAATCAAAAGATTCTACGTCCAGTCGTTAATCACTATAAATAGTGATTAACCTTTTTCACTAAAAATGGTTTAACAGATTACAAGATAATGAACAGGAATAAAATGAAAAGAACCACTCTACCAACTTGAAGAGAACCGCTCCAGCAATCGACCAACGATTCACAAGCTTCTCCTTTCACAAGACCAGGCAGAGCACCTTGCTAACTTGAAGAGAGTCTGCTCCGACTATCGACACACGATACGCGAGCCTCTCCTTTCACAAGACCAAGCAAGGGAACAATGAACAAAAAGCTCTCTAAGAACGTTCCTCTGAAACACAGTGTTCTAAGATTTCTCAGTTCAAAAAGCGTTACCTTCTGATTTCTCCAAATCAAATTATATAGCCAAGTACACTGAGTGCAAAAGGTCAGCTCTCAACTGCCATGAATAATCGATTATTGTAAGTGATAATCGATTATTCAAGTCCGTTACAGGTTTTCAAAAATGTGATAATCGATTATATGAAGTGATAATCGATTATTCAAGTATGACTTGTGATAATCGATTATTGCTTAACCATAATCGATTATACTAGTAAAAATTACAATGTTTAACATTTTCCTACTACATTCAAAATCTACAAGTTGGTTTTTTTAAATATTTTCCTACTACATCCAAAATCTATAAGTTGCAACATCATCAAAACACATATTTAGGTTTTACCAATACTCCTTATTGGTAACACTTAGCGGTCCATGGAATGTAGAAATAACATGAAAATAGAATAAGAGAGGGTGAAGAACATGAGAGAAGAGAAGAGGACGAAATTTAAACCCCCCAAAGGGTTCCTAAGCTCCCTAATGTGTTTTCCTAAGTCTATTAATATAGAAATTGGATTAAGCTTTGTTTCAGGCTTTTCTATTCTTTTAATCTTCTTTATGATGTAATATCCTCCAATTATCTTTTAAATAATCCAATATCTTGAAGATATATTTGATTGTTGTGGAGATCTAATAATATTTGAGAAGATATTTGCTAGATTAAAAGATTTGGCAAATATTATCTTTTGATATTTATTGATATAGTTAAATAAGGTAATTATTCAACAATATAAAATAAGGTATCTTAAGGTATATTTTCCCCTAATTATATTTAATCATAAATATTTATCAATTATCAAAGCCCTTTTAGTAGAAAAAACTGCAAGATCCAATTTTTGTTGCTTCTTCCCTCTTTTTGGCTTGGCTAAATTTCTTTAATTTTTCATGTTATGCTTGGATTGACTTCTTGTGGTCTTGATTTGCTATTCTTGGATTTATCTTCAAGGCGTCATATAAGATAGAAGACTCATAAACTTTTTACTTAAGGTTTTGAGTTGGAGGTGATGTTAATCCTTAGGATTCAAGTCTCATCTATATTGTATCTCCTGTTGAATTTTTTCCTCGAAAAACCCATCACTAGATAGATTTGTATATTAATTTAGAGAAACGTTATGTACTCATGTTTAAAGTTCACTTCTTTAAATGGTATCAAAGTAATATGTTAAAGTATATCCTTATGAGATTTGTCATTTGTTCAGCCTATTATGCCACCTACTATAAAAAAATGAGTTGATTGTTGGGCATAAGGATGACAAAAATAGTCGTGCTCGCGAGTAGCCGTGGATAAAATCCACAGCAGATAGTTGACACCAACATGTATTTATTATCCACGGATAGTAGGTACAGGTATTTTAATACCCGTTTATAAATAGGTCAGGTATGAGTATCAAACTAGCAGATATCCATTACCCACAAAAAATTCAAATTTAAATTATATTTTATTAAGTTCAATTTATTTAAAATTAAAATTAATTTATATTTTATTAGGTAAATTTAGTTAAAATTTAATTTTAATTTATAATTAATTTCTATTATATTATATTTTATATTACTTTTTGTAATTTTATTTATATTTTATTATAAAAATTTATAAAATATCTTTTTTTCTAAAATATCTATGGAACCTCCGAGTATTTTTGAAACCAATATCGAACCGGTAACAAGGGGTAATGAGTTAATTTTTAGTTGTGGGTCGGACGGTAGATATGCATTATGATTACCTGACCCGACCTGTTGTTATCTCTAGTTGATCATATGGTTTCACTCATTATCATGCCACTATCAGGCCATTCATTAATATTTAATCTCATACATAAGATGTATATACCTCTACGTGAGGAGAAGTGTTGATGTCCTACATTAATTAGTGATAAAATCATTTTAAAATATATAAATGAATGTAAATCTTATTTTACAAACCATTTTTGTGAGATTGAATTATACTTAAAATTCACCCCTTAAGAAGATCAAATACAAAAAATATCCAACGACAACTTTTTATCTAACTTTCTTCAATTCTCCATTTTAAAATTGTTTCGGTAGGGATTTGTAAGACCGAGAGACTAACCTTTTTTGACGTGTCTTCCTAGCTTCCGAACGCCTGGATCGCTTGAATCCCTTGCCTTCCTTCAATCTGGACCGTTCTTGATGGAAAATCCCTTAGCCATGGTCAAGCACTTTAAAGAGAGTTAAAGTCATCCTTGAAGATGGTGTCAACTCTACCTTGTGGTCCACCTTTGGAGCCATCATGTAGCATGGATTGAAGATTAATGTAGGAATTTAGGCCATTGTATTAGGCCATGTAGTGTAGGTTTGTTTAAGGCTTGTATTAAGGCCTAAGTAGCATAGGATTTTCCTTAAAAGTTAGAGATCTAAACTAAGTGGAAAGTGTGTGCCATGTGTCATGCTTCCATTGGAGAGGATTTACTTTTTAAAAGGTAGCCACATGGCACCTTAGGAGTGGAAAGGTTTTTCTTTTAATAGTGGCCACATGGCACTATAGGAATGGAGAGGATTGTGTTTTGTGAGTGGCCACATGTCCTCCCATCATTGGAGAGGATTTGTGGACACTTGTCCACTCCTTAAAAGGCCTCATTTTTGGCCAATGAGAGAAAAGGTGGAAGATCATGCTTTTAGGGTTAGAAGGAGACACCCTTGACCTATAAATAGAGGTGTCTCCACCCTTGTATTTCATCTTTGATGTTGAGTAATGTTATGCTGCCCATTTTTGGCCATACTACTCATCTTAAATCAAGACTAAAACAACCCATGAGGCCCCTCAAGTCAACTTCCTCCTTGAGTTGGCCTAACCTCTCTTGGAGCCACCAAACACTACACCACCACCACCATATCTCCTAGAGGCTTTGAGCTTCTACACCATTCATACATTAGCTCATCATCCTTGGACCATTTACCACCACATTTCCGCACAATTCATCCAAAAAACACCCCTCCATGCACATCTCCTAGCTTTGGCCCAACCTAGCCAAGGAGGTTTCCATAAGTTCTCTTCACTATGACCGCTCGATTTTTGGTGCTAACCGTTTGGTTGGCTTCAGCTTTGACCGTTCGGTTACCTTCTTGATAGAGGGGGGAGATACCTGCAAAAGGCACTCCAACGCTCAAGTTAGGAGCGGTTTGATGAGCTTCTGCTTACAATTGAATATTTAGTGAATTGTTATCACTATTGAGTATTTGGATCTTTGTAGAGCGTGAGTAGAATGTAAATGGACGTACCTGGCTTTTAGCCTTGGCTCTGTATTTATAGGTTATCACAAGCCTAATAAAATAGAAACAGACTTACCTTAAAATCCGGTCGGTTGCTCATAAACAGCTTTATGAATATCTTTAATGAGATATCTTTGATTATTTTATCCTTTACTGGATTATTAGCCCAATAACTTAAATGCTAGCCCAATTGTGGCCCAACATCTTTTAACCTGGTTTGACCTGGTTGACGAGCGCTATCCCGGTTTGACCTTGTTGACGAGCGCTGTTGTTGATAAGCGTTGTCCACGTTTGACTTTGTTGACGAGCGTTGTTCTTGATGAGCGCTGCTATAGTAGATAGACCGATCGATCTTGGATGCTAACCGTTCGGCCTAGAT